AAGCCAAGAGATTTCACAAAAGAAGTCAGATTTTTTCACTTCTCTTGAAAAAAAAAATCAAAAGATCAGGCACATTGAGCTCTTGCTCTTGTACAGGAACAATCAGTGAAAGCCCCCCCCCCCCCGCCCCTAGACAGCACGTGAACTTCAGGTTGGCATAGTCTGCCACACCCGACGGCCCCCCAGTCCAGGGCCAGTGGCCATGTAACCTCGTGGTTAGGGCCTTTTCACTCACAATTACAGTAACACAATCACATGGTTCAAAAGTCAACATGATACACAAAGCTATACAGTGAGAGGCTCATTCTCATCTTACCCCCACCCTCCCTAAGTAAAGCACGTTTGTTAATATCTTCACTTATTTTTCCGCTTTTTCCTTACACAAGGTAATACTATATATATATATATATATATTTTCTGTCTTGCTTTCTTCACTTAAAATATATCCTAAAGATTATTCCAATAACAGGACATAGAGAATTTCCTCATTCTCACTTTACAGCTACCTATCCCCGTGAGTGCATAGGTTGGTTTATTAAACTAATTCCATATTAACAGGCACAGGTTGTGAATAGTCTTTTGCTCTTACCAATATTCTACAATGAGTATGTGTATATGTCATTTCATAGGTGATAAAGCCTGTCGTGCAGGATAAATTCCCACAAGTGAGATTGCTGGGTTACAGGGTAAATATATTTGTAATATTTTTAGGTACTGCCAAATTGCATTCCACATGGGTTGTACATTTTGCGGTCCAGACATCAATGCAAAAGCATGTCTATTTCCTTTCAACTTCACCAGGAGAATGTGTGGTCAAACTTCTGTAGTTTTGTCAGACAGGTAAAAATTATATTTCAGGACAGGTGTAATTTGCATTTTAAACCAAGACATCTTTTCTCACATGTTTACCTAGAGACATTTGTAATTCTTTTTCTGAGAACTGTGTTCCATTTTCCTACTGGATTCCTCTTTCTGCTGATTTTCCTATTAAATTCTTGTTTTTTTTTCCTTATAAACTTATAGGAGTGTTATATATATTCAGAAGGTTAGCCCTGTATCTAGGATATGAGGTGCAAATATTTTTTTCCAGTTTGTCCTTTGTCTTTTGCCTATGTTTATGAGCTGTATGTTTGTTTTTGCTGTTGTTTGCCATCCAGGTGTTTTGCTGTTGTGTGTGCTTTTTAAAATGTAGTTAAATTTATTTACTCTTTGCTTCTGGTTTTTGAGTTGTTGGAAAGAAAGATTTCCCCCATTCCAACATTAAAAATGAATTTAACCATATTTCCTCCAGTAGTTTTAGGGTTTCATTTTTTTGAGTATTTTTTTTTTTTAAAGATTTTATGTATTTATTCATGAGAGATGAGAGAGAGAGAGAGAGAGAGAGAGAGAGAGGCAGAGGGAGAAGCAGGCTCCCAAGGAGCAGGGAGCCCGATGCGGGACTCGATCCCAGGACCCTGGGATCATGACCTGAGCCGAAGGCAGACGCTTAACCATCTGAGCCACCCAGGCTCCCAGGGTTTCATTTTTTAAAAATGTAAATCTTCAACCCATTTAGAGCTTGTTAAGATGCACATTGTGAGGGGCGCCTGGGTGGCTCAGTTGTTAAGCGTCTGCCTTCAGCTCAGGTCAAGATCCTGCTCAGCGGGGGAGCCTGCTTTTCCCTCTCCCACTCCCCCTGCTTGTTTTCCCTCTCTTGCTGTTTCTCTCTGTCAAATAAATAAATAAAATCTTAAAAAAAAAAAAGATGCACATTGTGAGAAGTAAAACTTTTTTTCCTACTGGGAGCTTGACCCTAGATTTTGGACAGGATGATGAGGCTACCAGAACATCAGTAAGTGTAAGACCTGGAAAATGGGACGAGAGAGCAGCTGATGGGAAGACAAGTGAGATATGGGGGTGGTGGGAAGTGAGGTGGGGACAGGACTCCCTCTCCTGGAGGAGGTCCTGGCAGATGGCTTCCCAATATTGGTCTAGCTCAGTGGTACCCAGGGCCCTTATTACTTTTCTCCAAAGTATCCACTTACTTATTTTTTGCCCTTTTAACAACCAGTTTTTGGGCAGAATGCTAACCAAAATTACCATGCTGAGTTGATATACTTTCAGCCAAAAGCACAGAACTTTGAAGGGTCGGTTAGCTTGAGGAGACTCATCTTGGATAAATGAGCCATTTGGAAGACTTTATGAAATGCTGACATTAGTCTGCCTATAGCTTATTTCTTTGTTCCTAGGTCTCTAAGGACATGGAACCACAGTGGGGGGACCTTTGATCTCATACTCATTGAAAACCTACTGGTGATGTATAACAGGGTGGGGAAAGGTGTGACTTCAACCAAAAGAAGTCTGCACACCCACCTCCACAATGTATACTAAACAGTTCTCTTAGCAACTTTTCTACTAGAGGTGCCCCTGAAAGTGTTTTTTTCTTTTTTTAAAGATTTATTTATTTAATTTGAGAGAGAGTGTGCACACGAGCAGGGGCAGAGGGAGAGAGAGAGGGAGAAGGAGAAGCAGACTCCCTGCTGAGCAGGGAGTCCAATGCGGGGCTCCATCCCAGGACCCTGGGATCATGACCTGAGCTGAAGGCAGACACTTAACCACTAAGCCATCCAGGCGCCCCCTGAAAGTGCTTTTTAAAACATTGTTTCCTCATGTGAATAATTCTCTATTCTGAGAAAAACAGGGAGTAAAAATGAGAAAAATTTGCAAAGACGAATGATGCTAGAATAAAGTAAAAGGCTTTCAGCAATAAAATTGGTTCCTCTGCTTGAAGCGGAGGCCTCAAAAGATACCTGGTGGGAGTGAGTTGCTTAATGCTACTCACTGTCAGCAGGAAGGCATGCCAGTGGGTAGGCATGCCACACTGCACCTCTAACAATTCAGAATCTCTGGTGGTGGGATCTAGGTATCAGTCATTTCGAAAGCCCCCATGTGATTTCAATGTGCATCCCCTGCTCCTGAACCATGCTGTTCAAAGTGAGGTCCTCAAAACAGCATTGGTATCAGTGGGCACTTATGAGAAATGCAGAATCTCAAGCCAGAAATTAGACCTTCTGAGTCAGACTCCGCATTTGAACAAGATTGTCAAGGTATTCACGCGCATATTACAGTAGAGAAGCAGTGATCTAGAGCAGCTTTCTCAAAGTGGCACGTGGAACCCCCTGTATCTAACTCACCAAGAGGCTGGGAAGGTAGGGGAAGGGTGATCTCGGACTTCTTAAGGAAGACAATTCTGGAGATGATCATTTTAGAAGTGTGAGGGGGGACCGTGGAATCTGCATTTCAACGTGCTTCCAGGTGACCCCCTTGCCTACTGCTTGAGAACTACTCCCAACAGGAAAGCCAACAATATGACAGCCATTTTCTCCTGACCTGCATGGAAATTCCCTCAGTGAGGCGGTAAGGTCAAAGCATGCCCATTACAAGTGGGGTATGAGTTGGTGATAATCTATGAATGCTTCTCAGCCTGACAAATGTGATCTTTCTGCTCTCTGACCTATAATAGAGCAGGTGGCGATGGTTAAATCTAGCTTTCTGACTGACACAGAAATGGGTCTCTCTGTTCTCTTGGGTTAGTGACTGAACAAGCAGCAATACACAAGCTTCTACCTTAAAAGCAGGATTAAAAATATAAAATGTTGATGCTCAGATGCATCCTTCTTCAAGGGTTTCAAAAAACCCTCAAAATGCATGGTAGAGAGACAAGAGAAAGAGTAAATTCCCCGAAAGGAGATTTCTTCCTTTTTCAGAGGTCTTTTAAAAATTTTTTTGCTTGGGCCCAGATTTTTAAATGATAACACAGGTAAAAAAAAAAAAAGAAGGAAGCCAGGAATGGAAAATTTGATCTCTCTCAAAAGATGTATTTGCAGTATGTAGTACTCCCATGATGTAGTTTTAAAAGCATTTCAGCTCATATAAGATACTTAAAAGCTTTTATGATGCAGAAGCTTTAAGTGAGTTTATCTTCAAATACCTAGGATTCCGAAGTATGGCTCACGCTTGACTTGGGGTGCCAGAACTGAAATCTTGGTAATTATAAAATAAAATAAGACCAGTGCGGTTGTAATGGATAATGAAACGGAATGGGGAGCTGCAATGTGATCTAAATGTAATTGTTAGATAATTACTGAGTTAAAAATCAGCAAAAGCAAAGAAACTTCAAACTGGAAAAAAAGATTTTTGAGGCCTTGCTTTAAAGACGTTTTTAAGAGCAGAGTTTCTTTAACCTTTTTTGGGGGAGTGCAAATCTAATGCAAATCTAATGAAAAGCCACCGACTCCCCTAGATGCACGCCCCCTGAGTGCACACTGGTAATTTCTGGAGTTCCATAGACCCGCTGGAGCCCACGTGAGAAACTCAGCTTTCACAGTGGGTTTTTAAGAAAATTTCTCTATTTTGATCTCTTCCACTTGGAACTGCTTTAGACCCAAAAGCAATGTTCTCAGCACCAAGGTTCCAGGTGATTGGTAAAATTAGGGCTGATTGTTTTCCCTTCAACCAATCTCATGAGGATGGTCCGAGGCCAGGTGAAAAGCCAGACCACTCGCTGAAGCCCGGGAAAGCATCCTTTTATTGAAGAAGTCTGCGCTCTCAGAAATGTCTTCCCCGCGCTCTCAGGGGGCTCCAGCAAGTCGCACAGGCAGAGCCCGGAGCCGCTGTGGCTCCCTTCACACCAGACTGTGAAAACTTTTGTCCGACGTTAGGAAGGAAAGTAGGCTCTTAAAAACACTGCCTACGCCCCTCATTTACCTGCAGACCCAAAGATGCCAGAGGTGGAAGACAGCCCTTCACCCCGTCCCCCATTTAACAGGAGGAAACGGACCTCGGGGGACTAAGGTGCTTGCCCAGGTGACCACCCCAGCCGGGCTCACACCCAGGGCCCTCTCTCTCTCTCTGCACCTCGCCGTCTAGCCAGAGGAGCACAGGGCGTCTGGGCCTCTCTCCCCTCACTGCCTGCCGCCCACCCTGGCGGAGGCGCCACGGGGAGCCGGGCCCCCGCCTACCGGCACCATGGAGTAGGTCATCATCATCAGCATGTCGTGGCTCTCCGCGCGGATGTGTGGCGCGGGCTCCCCGCCGTGGCTGCGCTTGTTGCGCGCGGCGCTGGCGGGGTCCAGGGGTGGCGCGGGCGCCCGGCGCAGCGCGCGACTCAACTCAGCCAAGAAGGAGCGCAGGGCGTTGTCCTCGCGCTGCTCGCGGCCGCGCTGAGCCTCCAGCGCCCGCACCGCCGCGCTCAGCCCACGCCACTGGCACAGCGCGAACACCGTCCCCGCAGCACTGAGCGCCGCCAGCAGCGCCACCGCCGCCAGCGCGCCCCGCAGCCCCCAGCCGGCGCTCCCGCGGCCTCGCTCCGCGCCCCTGGCCATGGTCTGCGCGCCTCGGGCCGGGCAGGGCTCGCCGCCTCCCGCCGGGCAGCCTTTATACGCCGCGGGCAAGCCGTGGGCTGGTGGCAGCGCCGTGAGTCACGCTGTCCTTTGCCCGAGCTGGCGGGGCGGGTTGGGGACAGTAGTGGTGGCGCCTGAGCAGCCCGGAGGGACAGGCGGGTGAGAGGGGGAGAGGATCAAGTGGAGATGACTGGGGCGGGGGGGGGGGGGCAAGGGGTGGGCAGTGTTCCTGCTCCTGGTGCCTGGCCAAGAAAACGGGCAAACCCAGGTCTCCCTCCTTTTCTCAGTGCCCTGCCTGTGGGCATTGTTGTGGCCCAGGCCAGCAGAGTGAGGGTCAGACTGAGGGGGAGAGCAGGAATTCTTAGGGCGGGAGAAGTCACTGAATTCCACTCCCTTCTCCCCCCACACTGACCTCTCTGGAGAAAAGGATCAGCATGCCCAGATGCCAAGACATGTGCCCACTCTCCCTAGGTCTGCTGCCCATCACGTGGCCACTGAAGACCCCATGAGATGTTTCTGAGGAAGGGGATGGATAGAGACAAGAATACAGTTGGCATTGGAGGGTTAAAAAGGCCACCGATCAGAAACAAAAGATTTGCCCTGCCTGAGAAGCAGGAGTCCTCTGTGAAGGGAGATTTCTAGGATGTGACAGGCCAAGAACTCTCCCATGAGACCCATATCTAGGAGGCAACAGTGTGAGGAGAAAAAAAGTCAAGGGTGGAAATCAGAAGACCTGGTTCTAACCCCATCCTGCTACTACTCAGCTGAAGGTGTTTGCACATGTCCCAAGACCACTCTGAATTGATTCTGAGGTGCTTTCTGGCTGAAGAGTTGGGACTCTGTCTAGGCTCTTTCTGGACCTCACTTAGCCTGCCTTGCTTGAGGGGGGCAGTTGCCTCATGCCTCCTAGTTACCCCTTCCTTTTCTTGTCATCTCAGATGCCTGTACCTCAAGGATCACTATCCCCCAAATGCAGAGTCACTTCTCAGCCTCCTCAGAGGACCTCTCCACCCCTTTTCTCACCTTTCCCTTGAATGGCTCTGCCTCCCTGGGGCCCCAGGGCCCACAGGAGACCCTGGTGGTGTTGAAAGCCAAGATTGCTGTTTCCACAGCCCATTATTTCGAGGAGGAGGTGGTCCCCTGCCATCAAGCCAGCTGGAGCTGTCACGGTTCTGCATCAAGGTCTAGATTCCTGAGTTTTAATTGGGACATGGACCAACTTTGCATATTCTTAGGAGAACATCCAGGATGAGGAGGACTTAGGAAAGCATGAAGTTCCAAGTGGTTCATCAAGGACCTAAACTATGGGGACATGATGTCTAGGAGGGAATGGAGGTGATACAGACAAATTTGTCCAGTTTCTCCCCACTCTAACATACTGTGATCTATTTGAAGAATGCCATGTATCCTTATCTCATCCAGGCTTAGGATGCCAGGCTTAAACCAATGGAGAGAAGCCCCAGAGAGACAGAGCTGGGAATCAGGCTCAGTATCTTCATCTAATTCACTAAAAATTTAACGAGCTGTGTGTCAGGCATAGTGATGGGCATTCGAGGTACAGAAAGGAACAAGGCAAGCAGCTTGCAGTGTGAGCAGTTGGGAGTCCCACGGAGCCTCCTGAGCTTCTCTTTATCCTAACATTCATTATAGTTACTACCGCCTGACCATGTCATCAGTGCTCATCAGCAATAATAGAGTATACAGCTCCTGAGGTTAGGGGCCACATATTGTTTGACCTTGTCTCCCCCAACACCTAGCACAGTCCCTGGCTTGAAATGGCCATCCATTAATTCCCTGTTGAATGAGTGAATGAACAAATGAATGAGTAAAAGGCTGTATAGTGAACGTATGTCCATGTAAAACGAGGTGTGCCTAGTGGGAATAAGGCTTAAGCACGAAACTCTACTTGTGCCACCAAACTGGAGCTACCTTCCTTGGAAGGCTGCCTGTCCAGTGGGGAGAATAACTGCAGCCTGACACACACACCCCCAACCCCTCTGGTTCAGAGCCCATAGTAGAAGGAGTGGAGTTCCAGTTCCATTTGGAACCAGCCAGGTTTTATCTGACAACCTCAGGTGAAGATGCTACCCTTCTTGGGATGTAGGACTCAAAAGGTTTGTGGCATTGACTTTGCACCAGATGGGTGGAGTGCCTGGGATACTGCACTCAGAGAGAGCAGAGAGGCAGAAAGAGAGCAAAGGGAAGGCAAGACTCCTCTTCCACTCAACACTTCTTCCAGTTTTCTCTTCAAGTCTTTCTGTGTAGGAATATAATATTTTATTGGAAAGGAGAAGGGTGTGACAAGTTGTTACAGCCTACGAGGCAGGTGTCTTCACTTATCCCTCCCCCCAAGATGGCTGTATCCAAGCAACTGGCCTTGCTCTGTTCTCTTTTCCCTTTCTTCTCTGTCTTCTCTCTACACCCTCACTCCACCACAGCACCATGCATTGACCCTTCTCCTTCTCCGTCCTATCTCAGAGTTGTGCCTGTTTAAGGCCTAGCTCAGAACCCTGTCCCTCATCAAGCCTTGCCTTCTGTACCACAGTCAATTCTTCCTCTCCCTGAATTCTGCAAGCCCCAGGGACTCAGAGGCTAGAGGCATGGGCTTTGGAATCAGATAGAACAAAGCTTGAAACTGCTTTCTAAATTTACAAACTTGGGCATGTTACTCAGCTTTTCTAAGGAGAGTGTAATCATATCTATCTCATAGCTTGTGAAGATTTAATGAGAATATACATGTAGAGCACTTGACATATAGTAAACGCTCAGTGGACATTAGTGCTATTGTCTATGGGCTGTCTGAACTTGCTGACACACTTGCTGTGCCTTGGGCTGTTGACCAACATCTTAGTCTTCCAGATCTTACTTTTTTTATTGAGTTATAGTATGCTTAAGAAAGGGACCTCTGTTCACTGTGACATAGCAGGGGCTTATGCCAAGAAGGAATATTAGATGAATACATTGATTAGCTAATTACACTTTTTTGGGATCCTTTTTGAGGAACAGAACTTTTCAATTCATGGTAAACTTGGCTTCTTTTCTGAACACAGTGGCTTTGAGATTGGTTATTTGGGGCCTTTTCCATCTCTGCTCTACCTAAGCTTCCCATGACTCCTCGAGGGGCAGATACATCTGTGTAGACTGCCCTACTTAGTATTTCTCCGGATGGGCTGGTACTTTTAGTAATAAGTAATTCTAAAAAAAAAGTTAGCTATTAATCTGGCCTATTTTGTTGACACAGGGGCTCAAGATATAGTGAAGACACAGGGAGATATCTGACTTTCCTTTTCTGGAGAACCAAGGAAGCCAAGAACATTCTGTGCTATCTTTACAATAAGAAGTAGCTTTTCTATTAAAAGACAGCTGCTTCATTTTCAAAGGTTAAATAGAATTGTCCTTAAAAAATAATTCCAGCTAGTAAACTTTAGGGCCCTGGAGAAAAATATCCAATTCAAGCATATACTCCAACTTTAAGTCCACAGCATTTCCTCATGACTGTCAAGTGAATAATTTTCATTTACTCTCAGGCCTGATATTGGGTATTGTCATCCTCTGTGATGAGGTTGGCAGGTATTCTGTGACTCCTGATGGTGCTGTGCTGCCTCCCCATCCCCACCCTTCCTCCTTGCCAGGGGTTAGGGAAAAAAATCTCTGTAATCTTTGCCACCAAAATATATCTTTCGCCCAAGCACATTTGGTTTTTAGCTCAACATTTCTACATTTTAACCCCACAAAACTTCAAGCTCCCCAAACAAAATGAGTCAGAAATTTATTTTCTTTGTTCATTCACTCATTCATTTATCCATTTATTCAACAAATTGGGTGCTTACTATCTGTCAGGAACTGTGCTAGGAGCTAGGAATAGGAATGAGAGCAAAACCAGACACCATTCCTGCCTTCCTGAAGCCTGTGGTCTAAGTGGGGAGATGGAATTAGCCGAGTAATTGTGTGAGGGTATAATTCTAAATGAGACAATGAGATAGAAGACCTGAAGGAAAGGAGTGCTGTTCTGTGAGATCATATCACTGAGGAACCTGTTCTAGATGTGGAGTCTGGGGCCAGGGAAGGTCTCCCTGATTTTGTGATGGTGTTTGAACTGGAATCTGAAGATTAGCAGTAGTTAACTAGGTGGAGGTGTGGTTGGGAGGGTTGTAGTTAGAGGGGACAGCACATGTGAGATCCTATGGCAGGAAGCACCATGGTTTATTTGAGGAACCACAAGAAGGCCAATGTGGCTATAGGATAAAGACCATAGGGAGCAGGGAGGAAAAGGGAATGAAGTGAGGCTGGAGACTGAGTTAGGGGCCAGATTCTGTGGGTGGGACCTTATAAGACTGGGGTCTTTATTGTAGGAGCAATGGGAAGTTAGGGGTTTTAAGTGTGTGTGTTGGGGGTGGAAGGTTGGGTTGATGAATGACAGATTTTCATTTTCAAAGATTACCTTTTATTGGTAGGATTTGCAGTGGCTTCTGTCACTACAGAAACCACCTCTGACCTCCACCAGGCTAAATCTCAGCCTTTGAACCCATCTTTCCAAATAAAATAAGACGACACTGAGTTCTAGAAAATACCATTTTCTCTTTCATTGCACATTTAAAGGTATTTGAAAAGTAGAACCATGACAAACATTTAGACAGTTTGGCTATCATGATACTAGCTGGAGTTTTTGTTTGATACCGAGCAGGTATTTGCATTTTTTGAGAAGTCAGCCTTTGGTACTTCAAGGTGAGATCATCAAATCAAGTCATCTCTAACATTGGGAATAAGAATAAAAGATAACTGCTTCCCCTGTGAGATTTTGGTTTAAGTTGGGGAAGCAACAACAGCTTTCCACCTGTCATAGGTGCAGTATCTGAGAGTCATCTAAGCATTGTTAGACATGGAGCTGTCAGAGGTTGTACAGTAGGGCTATTTCAAATTCTCCCTCTGCCCTTTCTGTGCTTTATTTCCTTTGTGATAAACATGCCCCTCCCTACTGCACC